TAGACTTTTGGGGATCCTTAGCCCCTGCATCGCCTCTGCTATTGCGTTACATGCTATCCACCATTTTTCGCTGCTTTGTAGCATAGCCTGTACGATTGACTTAGGCGTGAAACTCTCGCCAAATATGTTGCGAAGTTTGCATCTGGTACTGTCAAATCGCATACATCTCCTCCGTAGTAGTCGCATATGCAGGGCCGTCGAGCGAAAATTCGGGCGCCTATACATAAATTGCATTAATTTAAAAGCACGTGATAATTTTCTATATGTATGGAGTCAGAAACAATCAGCACGAAATAATAGCAAGGTATGGTTCTGATATTTCACGCCCCTTAAAAAGCCCGGCCCGAGGGGATTCACCCCTTTTCCGGTTCGTGTTTGAATTGGTGAAGGTATGGTTTGAAGCATCCGTGTCGACTTAAACAGTTTGTCTAATAGAACTCGACTTCGTCGTTTAGTCTGCCTCATTTGCGTGTATATACGGTTCGCTCTTCACTGTGCGAGCTCAAATTGAAACATTTACGATTGTAATCATATTGTAATGTATGAAGATATTTGGTGGTACAAATGTACCACTACTTTGTCTTTAAGGACTACTATTTTTCAGACCCTAAAAATGAATTAAAATGGTTTTATTAAACGGTATGGCATTCAAAAATCTTTGCACAAGGCTTTCGTGAAATTGCATGGTCGTAAGTACTTTGGTTGTCGATATATTTACATTTTTGTTGCCCGGTGGGACATTTGTACCACCTCTTTGTACATAGAAGTTAATGAAATGTTAAAAAGGCTGGCCTTTTTTTAACCTTTTTTTGGGTCACTTAGCTTGTTTTAGGTTTTTTTATTTGGCCGATATAGCTTTTTTATTTTTTAAGTCCTGGCAACACTGGTAAGGTGAATATATGTAAATATGTTCCAAATTCACCGAAAATTGTAATGAAGACTTAAGGAAATTCTATTCAGAATCAGCGGAAACAATTATTTTTAATACGTTTACTGTCAGAAACACGAATCACTCTTTTTGTCAGTTGCAATTAATATATACAATTTTAATCAACTTGTTTGCATTTTTTTTCTTTTTTTTTTTTGTTGATGGTCGAGGAGTTTGGCTTCCTTTGCCAATTGAGACCAAACTTTACAGAGCTGATTTTTCATAGATCTAAACCGTATTAAAAAGCAGCTGAAGAAAAACTATCCAACATTTTAAGTTATATTTTAAGGGCCACCCTATTGCACATCACCGACGCAATTATATTCATCCACCAATCTACAAGTGTGCAGCGAGTTAAATGAAAACCAACTCTTTCTATTTGTAGTGCTTAAGTGCTTGGCCGGGTTCTCCTTCACAGCGGTTGCTTAAGAACTAATTTTTCAAATCTTTTTAAGTGTTTTTGATGCGTTTTTTTTTGTTTTTTTTATAGTTTTCAGTTCAATTTCACTAAGTATTTGGAAAATAATCTGACTTATCCTTATTTCCGCCCGAAAAGAAATTCACCCGAAAATTTGTACTCCGCCCATAGTAAATACATCGAAACCAAAAGTGAAAAGTGAACCGGTTCGGGGAAAATTAAACTCATGATAAGGCTTCATATGAATCACTCTACAACGAAATAACGATAAGTATATTTTTTAATAAAAATAAATTCACCATCCTAAAAACTTTTCAGAAAACCACTGGTAGGTTAGGGCAGTATTTTTTATAAATGCAGACGTATGTATGTATGTATGTAAGTACTTGCGAAATGCTTTGAGGTAAGTAGTCAGTTTATTTATGTGCGTATATTTAATATTTATGAAAATAATATAATGAAAATGGTTAGTTAGGAAATGGGTTCTTAAAAAAAAAACATTAACATACCTGTCCAAAGCCATTGGCGAGCACTTTTTTGTATACATTAAAGAGATTAGCTGTAAAGTCATCAACTTTGATAGTTTCCGCCAGAGTTGTAGTAAGAAATTCTTCATCGTGGGCCACATTATGCATCAATTGGTTAATAATGGTTTGCAAATGTTTAGCCTTTTCGAACTCTTTGCGTGGGAAGGACGAAGGCACCAAAATGAACGGAGCGAACTGGTATTCAAAAACGATTAATCAACTTAGCAATCACGGATTACAATAAAAAATACGTATATCGCACGTTTAATAATATAACGAAGTATTTCAAAATTTCAATTTTGTGGGAAAATGCAATTAAAGTTTTATCAATTCATACAGTTGGTATGCAAAAAGACAGATGGAAAGAAACATATCTTCGCCATATTTGGAAAATTTTGTTATCTGTTAGACTCCGCATAATCTACTTATCAAACTTATTAATTGGATAATGAAATCTCCAAAAACGTAAATTTTGCGTTACTTCTCTATATTATTAAACGTGCGATATGTATATATATTTATATATATATGTTTGTATGTATGTGCATACACAATCGGTAAATCAATAGCACCCCCATTTCCAAGTGACTAATGTTTTTTATTTATTTTTAAGAATTCGTTTTATTGTTTTTTTGTTTAATTCTTATTTTCAATTAAAATACACTTCATTCTCTAACAAAACCCATATAAATCCTAGTTTAAATCTTTATAAAAAACTAATAAAATATTTTACAAATTTATTTGGAATTTCCTGTGTGCGCGATTTTTTATTCCAAATTTTCGCCTGCAGCGATTTTTTTAATGCATATAAAGCCGTATTTTAATATATAGTGAAAATTTGGAAGGGCAGCATTTTTTGGAAGCACAACGTCACTATAAATTGTTTTCGAATAGGATCAATAATACATTTATTTTAGAAAAAATACCCGTTTTTAATAAACAAAGTTAATTTTTAATTATTCTTTCTTTATATACAGTCAGTGTCAAATGTATGTAAGTTTACACCTTGTTTTAATATAATATTCACAATTATTTTCATAGAATTTTTTTTTTCATTAATTATTTATCAAAATATAGATCATTCTATAACATAACCATATAAATCAAAGTTTGACACTTTATACAAAGTTCAAAAAAATTCAAGCAATTTAAAAGTAGATAGATAGGAAGAAAACGCGCAACATCCTACACAAAAAAAAAGATTCTAAAAAATCAACGGTAATTTCTAGCGACTTGAAGCTTGCACTTTGTTTTACTTAAATTTAACGGGCTCCAAAACTGCATAATCGAAAATTTTCTAGAAATTCTGAATAAAAATTTTGATGAAAATTTTTTTAATTTTTGTGAACTTTATATAGTGTGAAACTTTAATTTATATGTTTTATGTTATAGAATGAACTATATTTTCATAAATAATTAATAAAACGAAAATTTCCCCACAAATAATTGTGAATATTGACTGTAAATATTTAATAGGTATGTATATGTATAGACGAAAACGAAAATTATCTGTATAACGATGTTAATGTTGTAATAATCGTAATTTTAATTTTTAATGTAATTTTACGAAATATAGGCCTTTTAATATTTGGAAATTGGCACCTCCCACTCTTTCCCGGGTGAGAATCCGCTATTCTGCGCTTGTTCCGAGATTTGGACTAAAATTTGTTAAAACTTTTTTTAGTTTTCTATAAAGTTTTAAACTTGGGTTTGCATGCATGGGTTTTGTTAGAGAATAAATTGTATTTCAGTTAAAAAATTTTTAAAAGTAAATAAAAAACATGAGTGGCAAACAGTATCACTTTGAAATGGGGTGTTATTGACATGACCGTTACTGTGTATAAACAAATAGTAGCTATAAATAATGTGAAAGTCAAACAGACTGAAAGCGCTAAAATCTACGCGCTGTTAATATACTCAAAACAAATAACGGGTGATTTTTTAAGAGCTTGATAACTTTTTTTTTAAAAAAAACGCATAAAATTTGCAAAATCTCATCGGTTCTTTATTTGAAACGTTAGATTGGTCCATGACATTTACTTTTTGAAGATAATTTCATTTAAATGTTGACCGCGGCTGCGTCTTAGGTGGTCCATGCGGAAAGTCCAATTTTGGGCAACTTTTTCGAGCATTTCGGCCGGAATAGCCCGAATTTCTTCGGAAATGTTGTCTTCCAAAGCTGGAATAGTTGCTGGCTTATTTCTGTAGACTTTAGACTTGACGTAGCCCCACAAAAAATAGTCTAAAGGCGTCAAATCGCATGATCTTGGTGGCCAACTTACCGGTCCATTTCTTGAGATGAATTGTTCTCCGAAGTTTTCCCTCAAAATGGCCATAGAATCGCGAGCTGTGTGGCATGTAGCGCCATCTTGTTGAAACCACATGTCAACCAAGTTCAGTTCTTCCATTTTTGGCAACAAAAAGTTTGTTAGCATCGAACGATAGCGATCGCCATTCACCGTAACGTTGCGTCCAACAGCATCTTTGAAAAAAATACGGTCCAATGATTCCACCAGCGTACAAACCACACCAAACAGTGCATTTTTCGGGATGCATGGGCAGTTCTTGAACGGCTTCTGGTTGCTCTTCACTCCAAATGCGGCAATTTTGCTTATTTACGAAGCCATTCAACCAGAAATGAGCCTCATCGCTTAACAAAATTTGTCGATAAAAACATTTCGAACCGAACACTGATTTTGGTAATAAAATTCAATGATTTGCAAGCGTTGCTCGTTAGTAAGTCTATTCATGATGAAATTTCAAAGCATACTGAGCATCTTTCTCTTTGACACCATGTCTGAAATCCCACGTGATCTGTCAAATACTAATGCATGAAAATCCTAACCTCAAAAAAAATCACCCGTTACATTAGGAGCTTATCTGTATACAGACATATGTATGCATAATTAGTTTATCTACATAAAGGCCGAAATTAAATCTTTGTATGTTTATAAAAGAGTAAATGCTGTGTGTTATATGGTAAGAATTTCACAAAATACTAATTTTAATTAACACGCAACATAGATACGCATGTGCATATGTGCATATGTATGTATGTACATATATCTGTGGTACATACATATGTACATATGTAGAGTAACATATATCACGGTGAATTTAATATTACATTAAGCGAATCAGGACTGAAGTTGGCTTTGGAGCGCATAGCAGCACCATGCATAATTGCCCAATCTTTCGCCTTCTGTGTTACTTCAACCAGTGTGCGCTCCTCAATTGGTAATGGTATACAGGATTCTAGTACTGGTATTGGAGACATCTTGATTGAACTCCTTTCACAAGTACCTAATAAAAAAGGTTTTTTTATAAAACATTAAACAAAATAGTCTTTGAATTATTTTACCTGTTTGATGTTAGCGTTTGATGTCAATTATCTCCAACTATTCCTTACTCTTGAGTCACTATAAACTAGGCCGCCAACAAAAACCGGCACTTTTAAATGTCGATGGCTGCAAAAATGCGATTTTGCAACAACAAAAGAAACGTGATAATTGCACATACAGTATAGGTTTTGGTATATGTACATATGAATTAATGCAATCAAACACAACGTGTACGTACATGCATGCGTGCATAAAACACACAATTATTTTCCTAAGTTGAGTGATTGATTGCGTAGCTAGCCACTCTTGTTGCTAATAGATCAAACAAAGAAACTCCATACCAACCTGTTCCGCTGTATATCGGCTGTTGGACACGTGACTCGCGTAGCTAAGGTGTAGAGCTACAGAGATACTTCTTCCACTGGATTTGTGTTTTAACTGATTTTATAAAAACTTCGGTATAGTTTTAAAACATTTTTGATTCCGGTTGTACAAATCGTTACGGATAATTTGGATTCCGAAATGCGTTTATTTTCTCGTAATGAAATGCACGATTTGGCATACTATGGCGTTATCAACAAAAATCAGCTGACGCGAGGTGAGATGCCAGACTATGTATTTGAAATTAATGCATGTATCGAATAATCGATATTACTATCGATGCGGATAGCTATAGTTGAGTAATCAGGGTATCCAAAGTAATAGGTAATGTCAGCTAGGAATAAAATTGTCCGTTTAGGTATAAAACTAATGGTGCTCAATAAAACTTTTTACGGTGCAAAAAAAAAATTATACCCAAAATCAAATTACAATGTTTGCCACAAACCGGTTAATCGGCGACCGATTGCTGTGAAACAGCATTCAAGTTCTATCCAGCTAGCCTGTTCCCGTACTCCAAGATTTGCAGGTTTTACAGGAAAAGCTGTGCATTTAACCAGAGCCACCTACAAAATTTCGACTAAATTGCGAAAATTGCAAGTTTTTTGCCATTTTTTCCACATATTTCGCAATTAACTCGAAATTTAGGTGTACGAGTCAAAGGGACCTCAGATTCGGATTGAAAGGGTCGAAATGTGTACATACACATTTTTTTGTGTGCCGGTGTAAACACCGTGATTTTGCGCTTTAATGCAAGCGATTAAAGTGAAGAACATGAATAAAAACTCAGCACAGATATATTGTAATTTTCCATTTATTATAGTATATTTAAGGTAATGTTTGCATTTTTCGTTTTTGCACGGGTTTTCTTCGTTTATTGGATTCAGCTGTATGTAGTACATTTGCATGTATGTGTTTACAACTGCATATGCATATGCATCACCTCAGCTAAGTAATATTTAATTTTATTAAATAATTTCTAAATTATAATGGAAACATTTTTATAGCATCTCCTTGTTATACCATATATGTATTTTAACGCGCAGCTTTTGTTTTTTTCTGCCCTGTCATTTTTCTGTTGTTTGTTGTAGTAGCTGGTTATAAAACAAAGCGATTTCGTTTGAAGTTTTTTAATGTTTTTTTTTTAGATTTCTAAGAATTTTCTTTAATGATATTTCACTTACATTTTATATAACAATTTAAATTTAAAGAAAACCATTTGCCATTATATGTTTTAATTACATTTATATACGTCATTCATGTTTTTAAATTATTATTTTTTCAGTTATGTATGTATGTATGTATATTAATGTATATGTATACAAATATTTAAATAATGTGTTAAATAAAAGTGCCAGTTTTCGTCAAGGTATGTTCCAATGTGTGTTTTGTGATGTATTTAAAAACGCCTTTTTTGTTATTTGTTTATGTCGTGTTTGATAATTTGCTGCACACGCCTACATTTTACTGAATTTTTATACTAAGCCTGTCGTCCTTTTTTCGCGTTCATTGTTAAGAGCTTTTACGGCAGGACTTTTCATTTGAAATTCTACAACGAAGTCTCCAAGGAGCTGTTTAGGTGTTCTTTTTTAATTGGTTATTGCTAAACACTTCTACATAAAATATTTAAAAAAAATTCAACGGAATCTAACGCGATTTTTGAGGCTGTTTTTTACTTTTTTAAGGTTGCTTTAAGAAATACTTGAATAACTTGAGCCAAAACTATACCGATTTAGACTTATGAGGTACCATTTGAAAGGTATTTTTTCGCCCATTTTATTTCTTTGCAAATTAATTCATTCTCGTCCCAATTTTGCCTTTTCAATTAGCAACACATATTAATTCAAGTTGGAATGACGCTCGTTTATCTTACCTTTCTCTTTCATACTTTGAATGAAAAAAAGGCAAAGAAATAAAAAGAGTGAGAAAATGCCTTTCCAATGATACCTCATAAGACTAAATCGGTAAAGTTTTGGCCCAGTTATTCAAGTTTGTCTTAAAAAAAAGTAGCATGAAAAATCTCATTGTTATGATTTCGTTTTTTTTTTTTATGCAATTTTTTTAGGAATAAACTGTTTTGTCATCTGAGGCCATTTTTTTTTTATCTTAAAAAATAATTTATTCGTAAAACACTTTCAAATCGGTCCAGCTCACGTAAATCTTAATATTTTTCCGAAAGATTTTGGTGCAAGTCTTAAAATAAAATAGATTTTATAACTCCAGTCGAAAAACATTTTTTTGTATGGGCAGTGATGCAGTCTAATGTACATATCGTCGTTTAAAGTACAAAACCGCGTATCAACAAATGCAAAACTTAGTATGCGAGTTTACCAAAATTTTATAGAAAAGAGAAAACTTGATTAGTTCAAAACGGTTCCATCTTTTCCCCTAATTATCTCTTCTTCTTATATCCAAGTATCGATATTTCAGTATGAACGGATAAGAGCTTGATACCAGGAGCTTCCGTCGAGCAGATTATCGCTTTTGGCAGTTACGAGGGTTTGCAGAACCACGATACGCGGTTTTGTACTTTAAACGACGATATGCACATACATCTTGGATAGTCTGGAGTCGATGCCCAAAATTTCAAAAATATCGGTAGAGCTGTTCTCGAGTTTTTCGAACAGAAAAAAAAAACAAAAAAACGGCTTTCAAAATATATATTAGTATAAATCACAAATGAAATACATTTTTTTAATAAAATCTATCCTATGGAAAAAGGATTATGAATAATCACATTTTGATTGTTGGTGTTATGAATAATTTTTTTTTCTTTCATTTCTGAGCATAAATAAATAAAAAACCTGAGCTTTAAAAAAAAAAAGCGCCACGGATAGATCGACGCGAAATTTAATTATCTTTTATTAAAAAAAATAAACTTGTAATCGGTTCATATTTGTGCTCTCAAAATTAATTTGTCCACAGCAACCTTTTTTGCCCCACTGTGCAACGTAACACTACACGGCAAAGTTGATCAACTAAGCAAAAAAGTCGCGTTGCGTCGTGGCGGTTAAGCAAAATGTCGGTAGGTGAGGAAATTTCATTTCGTATGCCGAGTGAATATTGAAATAAATTGCAAAATAATCTAAGCAAAAATTAAATTTGGGAAGAATACGGCAAGATAATTACAAATTAAAGAAATGATCACCACATAAGGCTCACTGAAACAACCGTTTTTGAAGGTTGCTGCATAAATGTATTTACTGCATAAATAAAATAAAGATTTTGAGGCGAAGTTTCGCTCAGCTGCAGTTTCAGTGCGCTTTACCTTACCAAAAAAAAAAAATCGTAGAACCGCTACAGTGTCGCGAAGCAAGTGCAGTCTTAGTTTTTGGCTACTACACACTATTAAAAAAAAAAAATTTAATGAAAGCAGGTTGTTGCATATTTCTGGAGACGAAGAACATTCTCGGTGGTTGATATTCTCATACTACGCCAAAAATAAAAACAAAACAAACATAAAGGAATCAAAAACGCATTAAAATTGACCGACTCGTGATTGTTATTTAAAATGTTGTATTTATTTACTTATACTTGAGAAATTACCACAAAAAAAACACATACATTTCGGCAAAAGCGTATATAATAAAATTAAACGAAAATTAAATATAAAACAACGCTAAAAGTAATTCGAAGTAACACGAAGCATATTTTCTTCAAATTATATATATGTAGATTGAACAACAAAATTACACAAAACAAAATTTTTATATTTAAGTAAAATCAAAAGCAAAGCTGTATTTTCTACAAAGTAGTGTGCGACTAACCTATAGGAGCAAAAAACCGACAGATGCATTCAGGATTTACGAGTACTATAAACCGTGTTTTGTACGTGGATACAAAGCCTAAATACTTCAAATGTTTGAAAAAAAGTTTTTTTTTTGAATATGTGTATTTGATTGCTTTAGCAGTTGACATTTATTTGTAATTAAACGAAACAGAAAGTAGGCAAATGAAAAAAATTGCATACACTTGACATTGATGTTTGTAAAATCGTTAAGAAGCCATACTATTTTAAACGTTGAGCCTACCCAACGATTCGATTTGCAATGTTTAAAATTGTTAGGAATTTTTGTGAATTACTCATGCGAGTGAGTTAAATTAGAAAATACTACGTACATATGTAATGTTCTCTTGAAACAAACATCAAATATAGCTCAATCCCATTAAATTAGTAGACATTTTATGTAAGAGGTATGCGTTTAACTATTTTTTGTATTTAAAGGCAAATGAGTTACTATTACATATATTTAACCTATTCAGTAATAGTTCCGAGATTAAAGATATTGCTAGAGAATTTCGTTTCTAGAACACGGTAAGCGCATGATTAAAGAAATTAAAATAAAATACATTAGTTGTTATTTATTAAACCTAATGCTTTTTATAGTGCATATTCTTTCATTTTTAATTATTCATTCTTTTGTATTAACTTTTTCATATTTTTGTTTTTAGTCGTAGTTCATTGTTTAGCCCTTTCCACTTTTTCCTACAATATAAAGTTATGAATAAATGCCGTGCCAACGTTCAATCGGTGCGCTGTGGCTATACAAAACGTATATTCTGCAAGGTTTCACACAAACACAGAATTTTATTTGAACTACCCTCCCTCCCTCTCTACTTCCAAACGTTCGTTCAGTCACCACCGTTACTAATGTTTTATCTACTTTACACCGAGCTTTATACATTTACTTGCTGTTTCATTATATGTTTACGTGTGTGTGTTAAGTTATACTGCAATTTACCTTGTTTTTTGTTTTTGCAAATAATGATTTTTTAGCTTTAATGAATTTTTCTCAAGTTTCTATGCGCACCTGTCCGCTCATCGCCATTTATGTATGTGGTTACATGTATTTCAAAATAACCTTTCAACAATATTTATTAATTTTTTATCGTTTGTTTTTTTTTTAGCTTTAATTATTTGTTTATTTCATTAGATAATTTTTGTTGCTTTTGTTTTTACCGCTGGCTTCTTGCTTGTTTTAAATATATATTTTAAGTTTCGTGTTCATTGTTCATCTGGTTTGTATTTTTGCTGTTGCTTATACATATTATGCTGTTGTTGCTGTTGCGATCTTGTTGGTAAACATGCCCGCACTTCATAGTTTTGCTTGCGTTGTATGCATTCAAAAATATTTGCCAAACAGGAAACCGAATATGGCCGCAACAATCGACAACGCTATATAAAATACCGGAATTTGCTTCTCGCCCAGTATCGGTGTATAGGCCTGATCGTACATCGGTTTCGAATAGGAATCCCGAATTTTGACGATTTCATCCTGAAATCAAAAGATAAAATGTTTTGTAACCTTGAAGAAATACCACTCGCATAAAGGCATATAAATATACACATATGTACATGATTAACACCAATAGCTCACACTTGAGATAGATAGATACTAAAATGAGGTGTGCACTATGAGCAGGCGATCTATTGTGTCCTTTTCTCTTCACAACACTTATTTAAAGCACAGATCCCTCAGAAAGTTCAATGGCTCAGACGTTCTTCTTTTAAAAACTTAATACGCATTTTACTAATGTAATTTAAAGACATATGGTTGGAGTTGCTGTTGTTGTAATAGCACATTGCCCCCTTCCCCTCTGAACGGTCTTGTAATGTATGTATGTCCCAGAATATAATTTAGGTAGGCCTTCTTAAGTGAAGCCATTCTAAAGGTTTACCCAGGAAGCGCTGTAAAAAGTGCTTGTCTGCATGCCATCTAGGAGGGCTTTCCTGTATAAGTTTATATTAGGTTTGTGTAAATCGAAGTGACTTCGAGTAGCTTGTGGAACAAACCTATTATTTAGCATTACAAATCTATTTTACGTTGCCATAAACCAATTTTGATATGAACCTTAAATAAACATCATAAGGAAATATAAGTTTTATGAATTTAAGAAGAGACTTTAGAAAAACTTCTCCAAAAAGCCTTCTGATGTACGTCCTACAAAAGCAGAAGCCCTGCAGTTTTTGCTGCTCCATATAAAAAAAGAAAGGTTTGTAGAGTATAAGGCCTTGTTGACTCTCAGGAAGGACTTTCGGAAGGGCTTTTAACTCCTGAAATTATCTACTGGGGTATGAATGCCACATACTTATGCAATGGCTAGTGAGACTAGTGTTGTTTGGTTGTATTTCCTTTGGTCGTAGTGGTAACGTGAGTCGATCAACGTATGATAGTTTGAGTGTACAGAACAACGTCATGTATTAAACGGCAAGAATATATCACATCACTAACTACTTACTGTAAGATGACGCTTCTCTCTTTGTAATTTCTCATTGTCTTCGCGCAGCCGCCTAATGTCAGACAATAGCTCTTCACGTTGCTCTGATGGTTGCACATTTGAGACCTTCAAATAAAAGTTAGTTAATTTTACCTATTCATCTTCTTTTGTTATATTGTAGTACAATTAGCTATTTAATTTATTGAAACTCACCTTCTCCTCGCGAAATGGAATTGCTTTATTTTCTGACTCAATTTTTGTTGACGTTTCTTTAACTATCTCGTTAGTGCCTATGTTAAAATAAAATTAAATATTGAGTAAATTTGTGTACAACATCAATGGATGAATCGCCTGCTACCTGAACCACCACTGCTGTCTGCGGCTGACGTTACAGTTGGCATCTCGAAGACACATCTCAACTTAACATCCATCAATTGTTGCGGTTCCGACTCCTTCCACTGAGAAAACGTGTAATGAAAGCAATTTATTTTCAAACTATGCGTATTATGATTTATTTAATAGGAGTACTTTTCCCATACTCACCAACTTATTCCAGTCTTCAACTGAACGATCGTGCACAACCAGGCTCTGCACCATGAACTTATGCTTATTCTTGTCGTTGGGATCATACGCAAATGGTTGTAAGCAAACTGTGTGTGTGTTGAACAATAATTTTTTATTACAAGTAATCATTACATTCAATTTAGTTATGCGACTACACATATCAACTTACTTTCAATTCTGGCATGCGTATGTGGTTCAAGTGAACCGAAATTCGGGCGCACACAGTACCGTTTCGGGGCGGTCGTTTTGATCTTGAACAGTATTATGTTATCTGTTGGATTAGTTATTTTCATAACAGTAATAACAGGACGAGTAAATGGACCTGAAAGTAAATAGAATAGAAAACATTTGCTATTAAAATGCATATGCTTAACCATTTTTTTGTAAATTATTCAACAGAAAGGGAATCAGTTATGGTGAATATATGGATGTACATTAGGCTGGGTCAATTTTGTATGGGGGAAAAATAAAAGGCATTTGCTCGTAATAGTAATATTATGTTATCTTAGGTCTAAGCCCATAATAATTGGCCAATTTAAAATATATCTTTAGCCCGCGCAATCGATTCAAAGTATATGAATTTTGAAAATAAACTTTGGCTGGTAATATGTAGCGATTGCGTTAATTGTTGTAAAATAATTAATACTACCAAAGGATTTGAGATAATTGTAATTTTCGACCCGTCCTAATATACATATCGATGGTCCTGTGCAATAACGACACAATTCAAAATCAGTAGATTAAAAACTGTTACTCATGTCTCTAATTCTCGTCGAATGCATGTCTAATCGTCCATACTTACTTTAGCAATCCTTAGTGAGGGATGGAAATAGATTAGACAAAGATTAGAGACAAGAGAGGAGCAAGTGGACTCTTGAAAATATTATTTGCAGATGTAGGCGCTGTACACAAGTGCCGTTCTGAAATATGGCAGTAATGTATGTGTTAGTCTTGTATCCAAAGGCTTCAACTGCAGATCTTCAGATCAAAAAAAAATAAAATAAATATAATTTTCTGTCCCACCTTGTGACAGTACGATTTACTGCGTGGTATTGAGTTAGCATTGTCGCAAACATCTACATATGTATATATGCAGGTGTTTAGACTGCAAATAGCCCAAATGCCCGTAAATTTTTATGAATGTGCCATTTAGATTTTTGATAAGCTGAGGACTAAGGCTAATATAACGTCATACATATTATTACAAAATATGGTAACAATATCAATCGAGCGGGTGCGTTTGTTTGTATGGCAATGATTAGAAGGGAATTGTGAATGTATGTATATACATAACTATGTATATGTACAATGCGACAGTCAACGAAGGTCTGCACACGCCATTTTCAGCAAAGCACAAAATGGACGAATAATTGTTTTTAACTTATCAAAAGGCCTTCATTAAGTATGCGATTATTTTTGCTTTTGTAGAAAAGCTAAAATGCATATGTACAGCAGCGATCAATAAAATAGTAGCAAAACTCAAAATGATGTAGTTTGCAACTTATGCAAACTTAGTTTTTATAATTTTCATTTAAAATATAGTTCGAGCAATGACAGAAATCACACAAATTAAAGTTTCATGGTTTGCACAAAGTTCAAAAAAATTTATAAAAATTCAAAAAAATTTATAAAATTTCAAAAAAATTTCGTGAAATTTTCAAACTTTGTATTCAGAATTTCTGGAACATTTTTGAGTATGCAGTTTTGTAGCCTATTCCATTTGATTTTTTAGAATTTTTTTCGTCGAGGGTGTTGCGGTAATTTTTATTGACTGAAACTTGCACTTTATTATACTAAAATTGAAAGGGCTACCAAACTACTGACTCAAAAATGTTCTAGAAATTTTGAATAAAATGTTTGAAGCTTTGATGAAAAGTTTTTGAAGTTTAATTAATTTTTGCGAACTTTATAAAAAACCTTCAAACTTTTATTTATGTGGTTTCTGTTATAAAAAAATAAGTAAATAAACATAAGTTGCAAACAATATCAATTTGAATTTCGCTAGTATTTTATTGATCGCTGCTGTAGGTGCATACATAATACATACATACAAAAGTATGTACATACATATATACAGCAGATATAAAGTAACGCCATAGATACACACTTATCCAGTCGTCCCACAGGTGAGAATAAAAATCAAAACTTTGAAGTTTGTCAGTATTCGAGCAAATTTGATCAATTCAAGATATCGACTACTGCGTCCCTAAACCCACCTTCGCCAGGCGCTTCAAAACGAACATCCTATCATGAAGAGAATTACAAACACCAAGCCCGAGAAGAAGAGGGGAAATAAATTTTTACACGGAATAATGCAGAAGTTGCAGAGATTGAGAAAGAAGAAGAAACAGTTGAGCACTGCTTCTATAGCTGCCTAGCTTTAGCTAAGAGCGGAAGAGCGGGCTTTCTAGGTAGGCACAATTTCAGCTCTCTGACGGAACTATCCGTTGTAGGAATAAAACCAAACCTACGCTTCTTAAGAGCTTCAAAATGGGTCTATGCAGAATAGTCACCGATGTTCCCGTGTTTCACAGTGGTATCACAATGGACCTGTAAGTTCGAAGTTAGTTGGTTATTGGACCGACTGCCACATCAAACTAACCTTGAATGATAGTCATTTTGTAAGAAAAAACTCAAGTTTGTTAATCATTTTATAACAATTAAATTTGGTTTATAATTCTTGCTTTTTCGCCAAGGGGGCGAATGTCATATTTATGTTACATTCATACACTAAGCAATTGCATTTTTTTTTTTTTAATTTCAGACCTTTTACTTAAATTTATTTGAATAAATCGTGTAAAAGTTGGAAATGTAAAGAAAAACAATTGCTTGATTTTTATTCAACATACGGCCCAATGTATAATTTATCTTTAAACGGGGTTATACCATGTTCTCACCAACATCGAAAACATGTTTTCGTTGCTAAAACTGGTCGAAATCTATTGTGTTTTCATCCATGTAAAATCTGTCAAACGAAAACCAGTTTTCGCTAAAAACTACTTGAAAGCTCACGGTCCACTCATTCCAATCAGTGCCTGCACCACTTTTCAACAATACAGCTGCTACGTGCGAAAATCTATGAGGCGAGGCCAATACAGATATCCGCTGGAGTACTCAAGCTCAAAGCAGGTAGCGTATTAACAAAAGCGCTCAAAACAAAAGGCACAAAATCGCAAAAGACAAACAAGAAAACAAAATGAAATAGAAGAATAAACGTTCGCTTTCTTCTGGTTGTCGTGTTTTTTTTTATTTTTATGTATTTCCAAGTAGCAATATTCTTCGATTGGGTTTTGTATTGTAGTTGTCTTCATGTGGTCGTCCTCTGCTTGAGTAGCGGCAATTTTTTATACGTGTGTGAAATAACAACAAAAAGAAAAAAATAACAGAAGACGATTGTGTAGTGGGCGCTAGTTAGCTTATGACTCGGGGTGAGATACTATAGTGTCACTAGGTACATGTGTGGATATGTATGTGGGTCATTTTCAAACAAAGTGTACATGGCAGGTATTTTTTTATATTTTTTTTTTATTTTTTACATTGATAAATTTATCCTCTGAAATCGTTTACTGACGTGAAAATTTTTGCAGTATACGAAATTGCTTTTAGGCTTATCAAAAATTATTATTTTTGCATTTTTGTAAAATATTTTCAAGAATGTCACTTTTTTTAAAGTAAGCTAAAGGAATAAATAAGTTAAGAAACTGTTAGAAAAAAGTATACTAACCGATAGGTATTGTACTGATTTTTAACATTAACAGGGCAATTCTGGCAACTGCATTTCACCTCACCACGGTGTTTCAAGAGAGAAAAGTCTTTCGTAAGACAGTTGTCTATTCTGGTAACTATCTTAAAAGCTCTTTACTATCTTTCGAAAAACTAATTGAAAGATCTGCTAACGAGGAAATAATATATGCATATTTTTCTTTTTAAAACAATCAAAAGTAATAAATAAGAATAAATAAAACAAAGCAAAAAAACATAGCAAAATATTTAAAAAATTAAAATAAAGTTAAACTAAAACTTCTCAATTAATTAAAAAAACAAAGAAATTTAATTTGAAAAAAAGAAAAAAAAACCGCTACCCGAGACTCGAACTCGGATCTTGTGAACGGCATGGTGCTAAAATAACTATGCAGTGTCATATGATTTTAGCAACTTAAACTGGTATGTACACCTATGTACATTAGGGTGGTCCAAAAAAATGCATGTAAAATAGTAAAGTCGGAATTTGTATGCTCTCACCCCCTAGGACCGTTCTATATCGAAAAAAGTGTACCCCTATTCTGATATGATTATACATATTTACATATCTACATACATATGGTTTGGCTTCACTTAGCTAACTGACGACAGCTTTACTTTCAAGAAAACACCGTTAAACACGCTTATCATAACTACTAAGTAAGCCAAAATTTGGAAATTATTTTATACGCTGGCTTCACTCTAGTCTATTCCTAATCGAATTTAACAATTAAGTAAAAATTTAGTTAGAGCCAACATGTCACCTCGATTCCGAAGTCATGAACCCCAGAAACCCCTTATTATCATAGTTTCGTTATGGAATGTATTTGTATGTATGCCATTATGTAGTTTATTACCAACAGCTGAACATTTCAGCAATGCGCCAACGTTGCTTTCATTGCGTCATTTTGCGTCAATATGCGTTTGAGGCAGATAGCCAACATTTTTTTACACTACATGTGCTTTCTTCTTCAACAATTCTTCATGCTTCGTCGCTGTCCACCACACTATTGTGGCAATCATCTACTCACTCACTGACTGGCGACGTGCTGCTTAGTTAGTTGCTCAGTCAGCCAAAGTTGAAGATTTGCTTGCCGCTGTTCGCCTAACGCCGCAACGCTAGCATTTTATTGTTTTCACAAACAAATTAAAAAATCGATTTTTACCCAAATTGTGGGCGCACAAAGCAGACTATTTCCGACAGTCGCACACCAGTAATGCTTTTTTTTTTACGCAATTAGATTCGCAACTTCCATCTTTTAAGCGTGTAGACAGGCGTCCAGTCAGTTGTGGCTTAGAGGCCCCACAGTAATATGTATGTATGTATATGTACTACGTGTACGTAAGTAGGTACATATGTTTGCAAGCACTTATCGCTGGGAATATAATAATAGCTAAAATAACTTATGTCATGGAATGCTGTGCTCATTGACCTAAAGACCCAGCCTATTTTGCGAATATTTACTTAAGTGTGTTAATTCGTGTGCATTGTTTATGCGGACGCTGTAGCCGATAAGTTGGTAGAACTTAGGTCCGATTCCTCTTCCGAAAAATGTTCCCAAAATAGTTTTGTTTTCTAATAGTGGTCGCCAACGTCTACATATGTTTCATATCATAAAAAGCTTCCCACATAAAACCAGCTCCCGTCCAGAGGCGGCGTTTGAGAAAACGCTCGGAGCCAAATATTTATTTTATTATTGCTGTGTAAGATAGGATAAATACTGATAGTATGTTACACATTTCTACAACTTAGTTCAACTATTTGTATGGCACATCTAGATTGGAGTTTTCTAGCGCCTTGAAATTTGCACTTTATTTAATGAGCTATAAAACCCAAAATTTGTCTAAAAATTCTGGATAAAAAGTTTAAAATTTTCGGGTGCAATGTTGAAGTTTGTTGAATTTTCATAATTTTTGTACGAAGTTTGAAATGTGGATTTATGTGGGGCTGGTTAGGTAAAGTGCTAGACTTTAAAAAAATATATATATATAAACATTAAATAAACAAAAGTAAAATAGCCAAAACTAGTCAAAATGTCGCTTGACTTAATCAGCTGGTCACAAGGGTATATGAATGTACCTCGATAATTTGTTTCGAAAACGCATATACACTTTCCGGGAGCGACAGACAATCTGCCTATACATACATGATTCTAGTGCGAGTTTATGAGCGCGAAATAGAAAATTTATTTTTTGGCTGCATTTCAAAATACGGATGAACATAGCAATAAATGCTTCATATAAATAAATCTCTTTAGTTAGCGCTACGATCTACTTCTGATGTGTTTCGAAAATTCAAGTAAAAATTCAAAAACCCAGCATACTTGCATGTATGCATGTACATTTCACATACATACATATGCATGGGTATTAAATACGTATGTATATAACTCGAAGAGGAAATGGAAAACAAAATTTGACTAAAAAGCATCAATGGGACGCGTATTGAAATAATCAGAAGAATTGTTGTGATTATTATTCACATATGTATGTACTTGCTGATGCAAACCACCAACACATAACCAAATTGTTTGCAGGTGCCGGCGGGTGATAACCGGAATCGCCAATTGTTCGAGAATTTAATAATAAATACCGGCTTTATAGCGTTCGGTGATAATATAGAAGTTTATGTGTGGGCATTTACTTCAATAGTGTCATAAACCAAAAAATACAAATATTGAGCTAAGAATGCAGAAATTAACGCTAACGTAAAACTTTCATAGCTCTATTGCTTACCAGTACATATTTTACTAAAACAAAATATATAATAATTTTGACTATAGGAGTATGTATGTATGTACGTAAATTCAAAACTTCAAAGTCGTTTTTCCCCCGAGATTCCCTTTTTTGAGTTATGACACTATCGAAGTAAATGAGCGACGTGTATATAGTTTTGAATTTATACACCATATCTATATACATACATACAGATGCGATCAACTAATTAGCAACGAAATTCAAAAGGATATTGTTTGCAAATTATGTTTATGTATTTATTTTTAACAATTTTCATTTAAAATAAAATTCAATCTATAACAGAAACCACAATAATAAAAGTTTAAAAGCTTGCACTAATTGCAAAAAAATAATCAAACTTCAAAAAATTGTCATAAAAATGTCAAAATTTCTAGTTAGAATAAGAAAATTAAGATTAAGAAAATTTTCGGGTATGCAGTTCTAGTCGTTAAAATAATTGATTTTTTATATTTTTTTTTTGTGGAGGGTATTGTGCATTTTCTTCCATATAACATATGATCAACATTTTTTTTATGTGAAAAAACAGCAGCACCCTCCACAAAAAAGAATCAAAAAAATCAACGGTCATTTTTAACGACTTATAAATAAATAGATAAACATAATTGCAAACAATATAATTTTGAATTTCGTTGCTAATTACTTGATCGCATCTGTACATACATGCATACATTAATAAATACATATGGGCATACGAATGTACTTTTATATTTAAAAAGCAAACTTGCGTAAAAAGATTTACCAAATAGAAATTATGAATGAAAAATATTGTAGTACAACGTTCAATCGATTTTGGGATGAAAGTGAAATTGACTTTGGTTGATTACGGTATTAGGTTAGAATAAATGAACAAGTAGTTTAGCCAAAAGATGACCCGGTCGGCTTAATTTTCTAAACTGAGGGTTCAGACTTAAAATAACTAATTCTATTGAATAATTGAAAGTTATTTTTGACGACATTAAATATACAATTTATGTATGGACATCTAAATCTACATATATATGTACATATCGCTACATTTCTTTGTACAAAAGTACGGAGATTACTACAAGAAAACCTAATGGAATTTAAACACAACACTTACAACATTTGATTAATTAAAGTCTCATATTGAAACCATAATTTTAAAGCAATTTACAATAAAGGAATATACATGTCGGGTTTGGTTAGGTTTATATCTTTGCAAAGAAACAAAAATATTAGATAGGACCTTTATGAATCGGCATAGCGATATTTCATATCTATTTCATTATATTCAAAGGTCAAACGTTCCATGACGGTTTTGCAAATACACGCATATGTACAAACTATACATATTTTGTATGGATATGTATGAAATTTGTGACATGACAGATTTCTTCGTCGCAAAAAAGAATCACCGCCAATCCTTTCGCTTCGCCAGATTCATTCGCTCCGCAAGTGATAATACCACCCATATTATTGTTGTTGTAACAACAAACAAATTCCCCAAAGAGTCTTTTGGGGAGTGTTGCTTGAGGGTCGTTCCGGTTACGTGGACCCGACTGTCGTGGGAACGCATAGATTCCAGTTGCCAAGCTTGTTTGCTTTAAAGATGCATTAGAACGAAATTAAAATTTACAACATTTAGCGCTCGCACATTAGTTACCTCGGTAAATGGTACATTGGTGGACATACATACATAAGTATACTAATTGCATAGTACAAAAACTAGCAAAGTTCAGTCCAAATTTCACGGCATGAGTAACGCGACAAAATAAAATCGTTGATAAAGCAATGTGCTGAACGTAATTACAGAAATATATAGAACCAATTCCGCTGTGAGTAAATGCAAATCAAAGCAATTACAAGCAATTTCTCACAACCTAATTGAAATATAGGCAGACAATGGAAGACGAGATTGTTGACTTTGACTTTTAGGAAGCTGTTAACCTTTAATAGTTGCACATATCAATAATGTTTAAAAGTTACGAACAGACATTTGTGCAACATAAGACTAGTTGTAATGTTGCAAAAATTTATACCCAAAATATTAGCAATAAACTTAAATGGTATAAAAAATAGGAAAACTTATGCTTATCTTAAGCCCGCTATACAGTTCAATGCGAGCGTGAACGGGAACATCCACAAAGGCAAAGAATTCCATTTGTATTCTTATTACGGTGTTGGCATGAGGCGATTTCGTTCACACACATCTGTTAAAACTTGTCGTCGACATGCGAATGCTTTGCATACGCACACAGTTGAGTGTGAGCTTGAAAAATATGCATATTATACTTTTTCCAATTACTTTTAATTCTATAATTCTGAAAGATATTTTAATTCTCTATCTTTTGGTATATTAACTACTGCAAATAGCGAAGTAATAAGGAAAACATTGGTCAAGCCTAGATATTTTTGCTCGAGCCTCATGGCGGCTGGCGTTGACGTTAACGTTAACGCCGCTGTCCGTATTGCCATCTGTAGTCCGTTTTTTACGGGCAGCGACGCCAATGTAGACTCCCATTCCCCATATTTTTGTTGTTGTTCAGTTGCCTATTGGCCTCACACACTTACCTATAAAGCGCAGTTCGCTTTTTGGCTCAATGATCAATTCCTTCGGCTTCTCCATTGTCGAAGCTGGTGGCGTAGTTGTTGCTGTAATCGCTGCCGTTTTGCTACTTTTGTACGAACGATGCGTCAAATTATCCAATGATATATGAGTATGCTTTTATTTGTATAAATTTTGTTTCTTTCGATCACTTTACACGTCCGCCTTCGACAATTGAAATATATCTTTGATTTTTCCCCGTTTTTTTCTTCAAGGGCTACTAGTGCGCTTCTGCCCCTGCCAATAATGCTGCTTCTTCTGCTTGGTTTTTTCTTCTGCTTCTTTGGGGCTCTGCTTCTTCCACTTGCCCGTTTTTGAACTTGGCGTCGTTTCCAGGTATTTTTCTTTCACGCTCCTTTCTCGTATATTACCAAATTACCTTTTAATGCACGGAAAACTTATTTGAATATTAAAATAATTATAGTCGGAATTTACACACTATCCACAATTCTCCAAGTCGCCTTTTTCTTCGTTTGCCTGCACCTCCGATTCGCTCATCAATTTTTTGGCAAGTAAAAAATTTGCAACGCATGCGTCATTTTGAATTATTCGCCGTATTTTTGGCACCTATTCGCCGTATTCATTTCTTCGTCTGGGGCGTGTTCGTTTAAGGAGCAAACAGGGTTGCATGAAATTAAAGCCTTTCATACCGGCCGTTTTCACGTGCTGGAAAATCTCGCTCACGTGACGACGTATGCGAGAAACCGCACGTGTAGAACGCAAAAAGCACGAAGCATGCTTTTTCTCGCATACCGAGCGGTATGCGAGCTCTCGCTTGCTTTCAACTGTCATTCTTGTTTTTTGACAGCTATGTTCTCATTTCGCAGAATTCTTCAGAGTAACAACTTCGTTTATTTTGGAGGCAAATACAAATTTAGAGGCAGCCATTTTTCATTTGAAAATAGCATCCATCTCTTTATGCAGATTTTCTAATTTTCCCAAACTTTTAATAGCCTGCAAGGCTTGAACCTTCTTGTTTGGCGACATTTTACAGATGAAAAAGTATGCTGTCAAATGCCCAGTCAACAAACCTCTATCTCGCTTGCGACAGAAAAAAGCAGAACGCAAGCGAGATTTGCAACCATGCGAAGACGGCCGGTAAAAGCAGTCTTATTGGGTCTGAGCACACTAGCCTGCTCAATCGGACTGAGCAGTCCACCACTCGAACGCACACTGGGCTGGGCAGCCGGCCGAAAACAGGTTTCATTTTTGTATACAGGAACTACGCATGATTGTGTTAGTGCATGTGGCACATGCAAACAAAACGAAATAGAAAACATGTTGTATATGTGTGCGTGTCAGTCCACCGTCAATCCGCGATTTTCGCAGACTAAAATGAGCGAGGAAAACTCGAACTCTCTTCCCCTTCTTATCCACACAAAAACCGGTTTTAGGTGGACTGAGCAGTTCAGTGTGCGGAGGCCCATTGAAATGTTTGCGTTTGTTCTGGCAACACCACATTCGCCTTGCGCATTAGCCTGTGTTTATACACGGAAACTTTTGTCGACCCGATTTTCCCTTTGGTGTTGCTCGTATCATTTACACCCGGCGACTTTTTTGTATGCAATTGTGGCTGTCGGCGCCTCGTCACTCTCTCTCCTACAAACGTCGAGCTGCCGCAACAAAAATCGCCGTGTGTAAATGAGCATTTAATTAATTTGTATATATTAATTCTGTTACTGCTGCGATTATGCGTAGGCCAATTCACGAATTTGGGTTAAAATTAGTTGCATAAACACAATTTCATGAATCCAATCATACACGAAAATTTAAGTATGTACAATGACTATGCCCACGAATGTGTACCTAGCATAGCGTATAAACACATCAAGGGTTTTCATCTAAAGTGAAAAAATTACCCTAATCAAAATTTTCTGCGCAGGCGGCCTTTGACCGAGCTTAAGGATTATAACACTTAGTAGAATTCTCCTTCCTGTGTTATCTGAGAAGAGGGGCGGAAGGATATATCTAAATATCTCTTATACTCCACTTTTAAATAAAATACAAAACAGAAAATGGATTGTTTATGATTTTGTTTTTATTATATAAAAAATATCATCTTCAGTGATGATTTAATTGTCTGGCAGCGATCGAATGATGTCCGAATCTCCAGGATCAGTGATGGACATGGTGCACACACGGAAATATTTACCGCAAGCGGTACCTAATTCGATGTTGGTGCCACTGTAATGTTGAACTTCGGTCTTCGCCAACATAGCGTAGTACTCAATCTCTGATTTCCTACAAGTAAAAACGAAATAAATTTAGAAATGCATAGTAAGATGAAGCAATACGTATGTGCTTAATAATTTCAGAAAGAGTCTCTAGTAGTAATTGAATATCAACATTATATGTCTGCTTAGTACATTCATCATCTAGCAAATTAAATTAGCTAATACAATACGAAACGTATTACCTGGTGCATTTTGCTGGAGCCATTTGGATGTCTGTCATTGCACTTGCCGCAAACATAGGCGCGCTATACAACATTTGTTCTGAGAGTAACTACTCCATAGCTTCCATTGCGAACAAATTGAATTGCAAAATGCAAAAAAACATGGGAAACTTGTATGGGAGCATACTTCTCAGTCTCGAAAGACTCCATATGGCTCCAGCAAGCAAATCAATGGAATACTACTTCTCTGTAGTCGTACACAAATGTTTGCGCTTCTCACCTCAAAGCTGGAGTGTTGCTGGCAATCAGCACCAATTTCGCTTTGCCTTGACGCAGGGTTTTTAAAGCTTGTTTATAACCCAAGCAATATTTGCCAGACTTCATCACCAAGGCCAAACGGGAGTTGGTGCTTTCCAAAGCCTTTTTCTGAAAATGAAAACAAATACACACTTATTTAGGTTATGTTCAAACAACGGAGGGATTAGGCACCACGTGTCACTGTCCAACAAAAAGCTGAATTTACCTGTTTTTTGACGGCAACCATGATTGCAGTTCTCTTAGTATAAATACAAAGTCAGATGGAAATCTGAAA